CATTCCTGTAAATACTTGAATATTAGCACAACTGCTCCCAGACTGTGGTTGACCAAAGCTTCCAAAGCTGAACCCAAGGCAGATCCAGCACCACTTGTGTGGCAGACTAGTCCAGTGGTTGGTATAGAGAGAAGAGAACCCACTTTAAATCCAGAACAAGTGTTAGACAAAGGGCAGCATTTATTCAGCGGGAATCTTGCTATTAACCAGTAGTCAAGGATTTTATTCAGGGCCCTTACATTCCCCGAGCACAAGAGCTGAGATTCTGCCCTGCAGCAGCATGAAGATTTAGACACAGTGCCTTTTAACCTCTCCTCTTATCAATGTGACTACAAAGTGTTAGGCTCTACCTAGCCCTAAGTCTTCAGTCTGAACATATTAATTTTAACTATAGAGACTGTATATTTGTGCAAATCTCTAAGACTACACATGTGGGCGTATTTCTATATTTAAGAGTTTTGCTCCTAAGCCACCATGTGTAGCACTAAAAATGATTTCACCCATCAAGAAAAGTGTGGGATGTTCTCACTATAAGCCGACTGAATGGTTACAATTGAGCTGCATTCAAGTTACCTCGTATCACCACTTTCCTAACCCAAATTCCTTAAGGGTTTATAAACGTCTAAAAACAATCCCCCTAAATGTATATAGCCAATATTTTTATAGTCTTTCATAACTTTTTCCCTGAGAATATAAACATAAAAACCTCTTTAAAAAATATTAAGGTTGACAAAAATAATGATGCCAGGAAAACCTTCACAGGTCACCATGACATAAGGGAGAGAGGAAAAAAAGAATGAAAAGAAAGAGTGAAAAGTGTGTCATTTCTTAATACTAAATTTGCTGGCCTCACTAAGCATTTTTTTAACTTAGTTGTATACCTTCCTCAGACTAAGATTTAATCCATTGCCTGTACTACTTTTGATATGTTACTCTATAATTTTACTATAGTTTTAGGTAGGTTTCATCAAAAGACATACAAACTTTAGCAGGTTTCCTTATGACAAGTCTAAATGTCTTCTGGGGTTATATTTGCTCTTCTGGAATTCAGGGTACCATGTCAACTATGTCATCCACTTTCAGAACCCTGAACAATTGCAAGATAAAATTTGCAAGACATTTAACCTTGCTATGACACGTAATTTTCCCCTTCTCAAAAGACCCGTATGCTCTCCTTGTATCCCTTCATGAAAGAAACAAAGAAATATTTACTTATAACACCACTTGGGAATCCAATATATTTCATGCCTTAAGGCAGCAGGTTTATACCCATTGTATCCCACTGAGCGAGAGCTCTGCTGAACTGGTAGATGAAGATTGAAGTTTATATTCAGGCTTTGGAACTGCCTTCTGTTTTGAAGTATGTTCAGTTTCACCTCTGTCGGGCTGCTTTTCTTGAGACTCAGTCATTTGCAAAGAAGCAGTCTGAGGTTTCAGTGAATTTTGTCCTTCTCCAAGTTCAGAACTGATAATGAGTGCTTTAGCTAGAGAGTCCAATTCATTAGCAACCATACAAGACCTTGGTATTTCATGGATAGGATTGTTTGTAGAAGAAGATAAGGTAAACAAACTACAGTAATTATTAAAATATCCAGATAAGGTGCAAATTTTTTCTGTACAGCTTCTGAGCTGGTCTGTATTCCTATATGATCCTGTGGAAATTAAAAACAAAATGAATTAATTTTGATATTTTGCGATACTGGATGTGCATACCCATCCACCCTTCTTTAATTCTAATTAGGGCTTCTCTACATGTGGCAAACAATTAAGAGGTGAAGGCAATGAATGTAAACATATGTTAAAACTCTTGCATGCTCCTATTAAATAGTAAAAGGTTAGCTGTAGCTGAAACCTCCAGCCATTTTAATTGTAAATGAAAATATTCCCATAGGGATCTAAATATTGTCAACTGACTGTACATTATTAGTTGATGATCCTTAACTGTCCCCATGTAGATATGATGCATCAGGACAGCATCTGATAAAATGAGTTCTTGCTCACAAAAGCTTATGCATCTCCAATTCAGTTAGTCTTTAAGGTGCATCTCTATCCTGCCTTCTGTATCCTTTAAAGGATGTTAATAAATTGACTGTATAACAAACTTCAACATCAGGAATCAACTGAGGAGAGGAAAAAAGTACATGGAACTCAGACCCCAGGCAAAGGCTCCCAGTAACTGAAACCAGTACATTGATGACATCCCAAATATGTATAAAGGAAATGAAATCTTGGTCATTTATAGGCAAAAATATTTATGACAATTCTGACTTTAACTTAATCATTCCTCTGTTAGGTATTCAAGACTCAAAACACTTTGCTTCTCTATGTAAGGTTTGAAAAAGGGCTCTAGGTCCTTCAAAAGAGACTTCCAGCAATATACCAAGAAAAAAGGAAAAATAAACTTGGATAACCAATATGCAAAAGCCAAGCAAACAAGCCAGCAAGCAGTTTAAAGTAAGCCCTCACTATCTGGCATCCTATACATACCATAAAGAAACTAACCTCCCTCACTCTGTGAGGATCTTTTTTAGTATAAAGTTTTCCAGTAAGACACATAGTTATGCAACTAAATACCTTGTAATGAAGAAACAACAACTTGACAGACTTTATCCATGCACTGCTCCAATTCCAAATATTTTGCAGCAAGATTAGTTGCTTTTATTATTATTTCCTGGAAGGCAGACTCTTCTTCTACTAATCGAAATCCCGTTATTTTCTGTATTAAACAGCAATGAATTTACATATCAGTAAATTCAATATACATGCAATGTATACTGCAATATACATATCTCAGTAATGCCTAATGGTTAGCTCCCCAATATAATGGCTTCAAATCTCACACCAATCTAATAAAACACAGCAACACTGAAAGACAAAACATAGGGAACATTGGATTGTTGAAAATGTATTAAAAACAGTTTTGGCAGAAATGGCAATTTTAGCATTCTTACAATGAATATCAGCTGGAGCTGTAAGAACACGATTTTTTTTTACATCCAACTAGTATACAGCTCTGGTATTTTGGTCAATAACTCATTTTGTGATTCAACATCAAACCAAAATGCTAAAAAGTAAGGTTTGACCAATTGCAGCCATGGTCTTGAAGTGACTGCACTAACATTATTTCATACATGGCTTCAAAAAAAACTTATTTAATATGAGAGAAGTTCACAGACATTTTAGGGTTCACATGTCCCTTAAGTTTATCATATATTATGTACTCTACAGTTCTGCATTATGATTGTTTTTTTACGTATTCTTTATCACTACAGCTGCAATGCAATCTCTCCAATGTAAGAAATACTGCAGAGTTGTTCAAAGTGACACCACATATATATGTCTCTACAAAAACATCATAGCCTTCCCAGGTCTCCTCCTCAAGTTAATTTAGAAACCTACATCATGTGCATGCAAGTCAAATGGTTTCTTCCAACCGGTGATATCGCGTATTGTTTAAAGATAAATTTCACCCTGCATCATGTTATACAGTTGCCTAAACCTTAAATCCCTCTGGCAGTTATCCCATCTCAAGTCTGAATTAGATTGCAATTTTCCATCAGCAAATTCTGCCAAATTCTGTCACCTTTTTTCTAGGCTATTAACAGGCCACTGCAGAACCCTGGTTCACTTGTTTAAACTTTCTCTCCATTTTGAAGACTGACTTTTTCCACCCCTACTTCTGTATTAGTCTCTAAACCACAACTGCTTACTTCTGACTCTGTACATCCCCAGTTTTCTTGCTAGTATCAGGATTTTTAAAAGTGTAAATAAATTGTATTTCCCAGGTCCCCACTATTTTGTCAACCACTATCAAATAACTCATGTACACTGGAGGGTTATTTTGCAAACTGTAACTGACCAGAGTTAATCATTTTTTGTTCAAATAAATAGAAAAGTTATATTTATATAACCATAAAAGAAATAAAAGATCAGGAATAAAAAAGAAAAAAGTTACAGAAAAGTTAACTTTACCACAAAACACACATGCAATAAATGTTACTCCCCTTTCAAGCTAAACGTTTAATTAAAGCTGAACTTTAATTTCTGTAACATAATTTTGTGAAAGGCATCCCTTACCTTTTTGCAGTCTGATAGAGTATTTTCAAGGGATATGGCCAAAGCAAGAGCATTATTCTTTACTTGATTTTGAATCTACAGAAAGATTTTTAGTTGTTATATTGTATACATTATTCAACGCCACAACAAAAATATAAATCTCCATTCTAGGATCAGCATATGCACGATTAACAAAGAAACTGCTTAAAAGAGAACAATAAATACAGAATGAAGTTTCTATAATGCTTTGACCGTCTTAAAAAAAAGTAACCATCTACAGATTTCATTAACTGCATATGAATCACACAATCATAGAAAATTAGGGTTGCAAGGGACCTCAGGAAATCAACTAGTCCAGGGGTGAGCAAAATGCGGCCCTGGGGCCAGATGTGGCCCACCAGGCCATTCTATCTGGACTACGGGGCCCCTAAAAAGTTTAGAAAATTAATATTTATCTGCCCTGAGCCTGTCATGGAGCCCACAATGGTTTGCCAAAACTCTGTAAACTGCCCTCTGCCCAAAATAATTGCCCGCCCCGATCTAGTCCAACACCCTGCACAAAGCAGGACTATCCCCAATGGTATCGTTCTAGCCTGGGCTTTATCGAGCTGGGCCTTGAAAACCTCCAAAGATAGAGTTTCTACCACCTCTCTAGGTAACCTGTTCCAGTGCTTCACTACCTCCTAGTGAGAAAGTTTTTCCTAATATCCAACCTAAACCTCCCTTGCTGCAACTTAAGACCACTGTCCCTTGTGTCATCTGTCACCACCAAGAATAGTCTTGCTCCATCCTCTTTGGAACCACCCTTCAGGTAGTTGAAGGTTATTATCAAATTCCCTTTCAGCCTTCTCTCCATAAGTTTCTTCTCCTCCTCAGCCTCTCCCCGTAAGTCATGTGCCCCAGCCCCCAAATTTCCTTCACTGCCCTCTGCTAGACTCTCTCCAATTTGTCCACATCCTTTCTATAGCGGGGGGAGCCAAAACTGGACACAGTACTCCAGATGTGGCCTACCAGTGCAGAATAGAGCGGAATAATCACTTCCCTCGATCTGCTGGCAATGCTCCTATCAATGCAGCCCAGTAAGCTATTAGCCTTCTTTGCAACAAACACTTTTGGTTTATTTCCATCTTATTGTCCACTGTAACCCCCAGGTCCTCTTCTGCAGAGCTGCTGCTCAGCCAGTCAGTCCCCAGGCCGTAGCAGTGCATGGGATTATTCCATCCTAAGTGTAGAACTTTGCTCTTGTCCTTATTGAACTTCATGAGATTTCTTTTGAGGATCCATATGCAATAGATTAAACAAGCCATATAACCAGTTTTACAAATTTTAGATTTTGCTCTACAAGTAAACAGACACAGGTCCTTAAAGGTATAGACTGATGTAACAATTATATCACTACCAAAGTGATACAAACTGTTACAAACCAGTATCTTCATGATTTTGTAGAGATACATGTGTAATTTCAACTTCAGCCCTGCTTCATTTGGGGTCAAAGTTCAGATGATTCAGTAAAGTTGGGATGACAATATAGCTGTGATGGTCCAAGAACAGTTTAAGGCAAAGATTTTTGTGGATAATATCTTTTATGGGCCAGCTGTATAATTAGAAAATACAGTAAAAGCTGTGTGTTAACAACATTCGACTATCCGGAATACTCTATTAACCGGAATTTCTGGCCAGCTGACTGTATGCAGGGGAGGGAGGGAAGCTTGCATGCAGCGACGGCAAACCCCCCCCCCCCCCCCACCACCCCCCCCCCCCCCAACCTCACCCCTAGCTCCATGTGCAGCCACCGCTGCCACCCCCTTCCCCCCACGGGTTTTCAAAAAGGTTGAAAATCCCTGCCTCAGATAACCAGAGTTTTTAGATGTCCAGCACCCCATTTACCCCACTCATGCCAGTTAACACAGCTTTTACTGTATATAGACAAGCTTTTGGGTATATAGTTACAGGAAAGAGAGACCTGAGGAAGTTGAAAGCTTGTCTATCTCCCTCCCAACTATACAGTTGATCCAGTAAAAGATATCACCCACAAAAATTCCTTGGTCCTGGATGACTTAGCAAAGTTTCATTGCTACTGGCTTTGTTAGCCTTCTACAGTCCACTGTGACTGTGCCAATCAGGAGGGACCTACTGAATTTATGATTGCACAATTTATGCGAAAACTGCAAATTTAGGTGGGCTCCATGAAAAAAAATGCTTACCAGGAAGCAGAAGTCCTGCACTCTTGGAGCACATGTGGGGAGGGAGGGGGAGGGCAGGGGACAGGGAGAAAGCTGAGGCAGGGCTACTTACAGAAGGGGGTGTGGAGGATAAAGGCAGTAGCTACCTACAGCATCTGTGCCTTTTGCTGTGAGCAGCGCTTACCCCCTCCTCCACTGCCTCTGCCCTGTGCTCCAAGAATGTCCAAGAATGCAGGGCTTCGTGCCCTTTTGTCTGCTCAGTGATAAGTTTTTTTATTTGTTTTTGCAGTAAGGCCACCAAAATTGCAGAGCCTGCCACTTGGGGATGGTCCAAAACTGCAGCTTAATTACCCCAACTAAGCCCAGAGAGGCCATTAATCCATGCTTAACAACACATGTATTAATAGCTTCCCCAGGTTTAATCAGGGTGATTAAGCTGCAGTTTCTGGCCGTGTAGCAATCTGTGGAGAAGAGCAGGACTGCCAAAGCCCCTCGGTCAGAGATGTGAGGGTGGCCCTGCTACACTCCGCCCATGAAAATGGCAACCAGCCCCGGGATTTGCCCACAAAAATCAGTCAGCTGCCTCCTTGAGTTCAGCAGACCCCTACCAATCACCCATGAATCTGTAAGTATAGTCAGTAACTCCAACATTTCTTCAGAAAAAGAGTAACAGAGAGAGAATCTCTTTTTGAGAGTGTAGTTACCCATGAGGAGATAAGGGTTATGGATGGGCACCATGAACAACTATGCCAAATAGAGAGTGTTTGGGAAATGCATATGATCCACTATAACTGTTTTGTGTGGCAAGTCTATTTTACAATAAGTGGAAGATATGTTGGGGCAGTTTAGCCCTGAATGGAAAGCCTGCCTTAATGCTGCAGTTACCTTCCACTTAGTGTAGGATAAATACATCACGAAAACAGCATAACTGATAAGCTTGATGCATGATAAGCCCCCTCCGTCTTTTTAAATCTGTAAAATTGTTCTGCCTGCCCATAACGGTACACTCATGGACTGCAAGATGGATAAAAAACTGACTGGATCATCAGGCTCGAAGAGTAGAAATTAATGGCCTGATACCACCTGCCAACTAGATATCAAGGGGAGTGCCCCCCAGGGATCAAGTCGTGGGGCTGGTTTTGTTCAATATCTTCATCTATGACCTGGAAGATGAGATGGAATGCACCCTCAGCAAATCTGCAGATGACACCACGCTAGAAAGACTAGTAGATACACTGGAGGGGAGGGCTAGGATTGAGAGAAACCTTGACAAATTGGAGGACTGGACCAAAGGAAATCTCATGAAATTCAATAAGGACAAATTCAAAGTCCTTTATTTAAGACGGAACAGTCCCATTCACACCCCCAACCTATCACCCATCCGCGACCAACAATAAAGTGGGTATAAGCCAAAAGTGCTTGTTGCAAAGAAGGCTAACAGCATACTGGGTTGCATTAGTAGGAGGGTTCCCAGCAGATCGAGGGAAGCAATTATTCCCTTCCATTTCATACTGGTGAGGCCACATCTGGAGTATTGTATTCAGTTTTGGGCACCACACTATAGAAAGAATGTGGACAAGTTAGAGAGAGTGCAACGGTGGCAACAAAAATGGTTAGGGGGCTGGAATGATGAGAAGGTGAGGGAACTGGCCTTATTTAGTCTGGAAAAGAGAAGACTGAGAGGGGATTTAGTAGCAGCCTCCAGCTACTTGAAGGGTGGTTCCAAAGAGGTAAGAGCTACACTGTTCTCAATGGATGCTTGCAGAAGTTAAAAAAAAAAAAAAAAACCCACAAAAAAACGAACAAACCTGGGGCTTTACTTTAAACTTAGCACATTTCTGCATCAAGCCCTGCATGTGCCCAGAAAAGGCAGCACTTTAGCTGGACCTAGCTCATATAGATCAGGTGCTTTAGTGGGGCTTTTTTGGCACTTTTATCTAATAGCTGATTGAATAAGTTTTAGATAAAAGCACCAAAAAGCCCCACTGAAGCGCCCAATCTATACAGATGTTACAGAGCCGGGGCAAAGTAATGCACTGCTGCTTCCAGTAAAGCACGTTTGTTTGGTTCTTTTTTCCACCTCTGCAAACAGCCCTCTCAGTCTTCTCTTCTCCAGACTAAAGGCCCGTTCCCTCAGCCTCTCATCATAAATCATGCCGCAGCCCCCTAACTATTTCTGTTGCCCCTGCTGGACTCTCTCCAATTTGTCCACATCTTTTCATAAAGTAACTCCGAAGATTTCCCAAGCCATAGTGTAAATTTCTAGCCCAGAACAGGTTAACAGGCCTGTGGATGTCACTAACCTCTGTCCCTCAAGCCACACACTACTAAAAAAACAAAACAAAGAAACAAAAAGTATAATCTCAAAACTCTTTGCTTTCATTACTCACCTCATTTTTTGGATACTGCTTCAAAAGTTCTTTCTGCATTTCCCTTGTTTTGTTCTGTACAGAAGCCAAAACAAACTCCAATCCTGAGACTACACCACCATAAATGGCAAGTATAAAATCTCTCTTTAGAAAAAGAGTTCAAAACATTAATGCTCATGTAATAGACAAAATATTCAAATTGTTACAGTGAAAATATCAATGACAGACTCAAACTGAAAGAAAATGACTTCGCTCTGATGTTCTTCTTTCTTAAAAATATACAAAATGCCACATGCTTAGCTCTACTGATACGATTTTCTTCTCTTAATAAAACAATTTCTAGTAGCCAGCAATTAGTGTGAACACAAAACAACTGTACTACAGCTGTCAATGCACTGTGACCTGGACTACAGGAATTGTGTACGGACAACTATGTTGGTTAGAAGCATGCTTTTTGGTTTTATTGTTATGACCCTAGTATGGATACAGCTTACATAAGCACAGAACAGAAGGTGTTTATACTGGCATAGCTTATGAGAATGGGTTATACTGATGTACGGGTTTCTTTTTTTAGCAGTGCAGCTGCATCCACAGTTCCGTTCACTTTTACCATAAGGGTGTAATTAAAACATTGTAACTCTTGTATGTATAATTAAAACAAGCACTTAGGCTTATAAACAACATTTAAGTTGAAAAAAAAAGTTTAATTGAGTTACCAAGATGCTATCCAAGACCAAATTCTGTGTTATAGATACATACTAGATTGTGGGGACAGAGATTAAATCCAATGCAATAACTCTGTATAACTATGAAAATGTGAGTATTAGGACATCAATATTTGAAAATATTAACACAAACAATTAATATAAAAGTATATTCTTTATTTTGGCATTAATCCTATGAAGTAGTCATCATGTATAAACATTTTTCCAGTACTAATCTTAGAAGTTGCTGTTTCCAACAACCTGCTGTTTTTACCTGTATGCTGGTTGTGTCATCTTTGTTCTCTTCAGAAAAGTATAAATCAGATCCTGCGAGTGCTACCAAGTGTCCCACATGTCTTGCTGCTTGTTTCACTGTTTGTATTATTTTGTTCTGAGCTTCGCTTACCATTGAAGGTATATCTGAACAACAACCCTGAGCAATGAAAACAGATTAATCATTTAGATAGGAAAATTCTGTGGTGAAAGTGCAAATATTTTTAACTTCATACATACAACAGGTCTTGAAACTATACTGAAATGGTTATGAACATTATCTATTACAAATCAATGACTCAATTATCTCAACTAAAATGGAATAAAATATTTACACTAGAGAGAGAAAAACTGTTACTAGTGCACTACAGAATTATGCATCTACACATGTATATTGATGCAGAGCAATACACTCCAGTGCTTAGTGCACCAGAGTTTATTGCTCCTGGGCACCACATATACATGTGCGCCTGGGACCAAAGCCCATTAAGCCAGGTTGGAGCAGCACCAGCTGGCAGAGGATCCAGGGGGCTAAGGGGGCAGTCTGCCAGGTCAGTGCTGCTCTGACCCAGTTCAATGTGTTGCGGAGGGGCTAGCTGGGGCACAACGGTGCTTCAGTGCAGGGCTAGCCAGCAGGCACCTCCCACACTGAAGCACCTTCATGCCCCAACTAGTTGTGTGTCAGTGTCTACATGTGCACTGCTGCAGAGTAAAAAACGCTCAGCTATTAGCGTACTCCAGCCTAATAGTTCTGTGTGTGTAGACACAAGTCATTTACTGCAGAGCTAGTCTACTCCACAGTAAATGTCTAGAGTAGATGCACCCCTATTAGAGGAAACGGAACCAATAGGTATAAAATACAGTTGCCAGAAAGTTTACATAGGATGGCACTAAACAGACAGTGATAAAGGGCAAGTTATAAAATATTACACATTTAAGTTTGTCATTTCTAAGTTGAGCATGACCTGAAGAGGTGTTTAGATGTATAGATGTGCATCAGGTAGGCACCAGACTGCTATTGAAAAGCCTATAGTTAACACTATAACACTGTGCACACATTTCTAAAATGTACTTTCTTCTTTCTGTTCATAGAAAATATAGTTTACCTGCAGTAGTAATTGTAAATAACCTCCCAAGTTTTTTATTTCCTGTCTCAGTTCTTCAATTGTTACTGAATCAGTGCACTTTTGGAAATTATTAAGCCAATGCTTTGTTAGAACAACAAGCTGTTCAAAAGCAGAGGTAATTCTGATGCTGCAGGTCTGAGTACCACGATCAAGAGAAAACACTATAAAAGAAATAGCAGATTAATGAGAAGGAAAAGCAAGATCCTTTTATAATTACTACTACTAATAATAATGTAAAGTAGATACAAAGCAATAAAATGCACCACAAAATAAATGGTATGGAAAATCTTGCTTGTTAAGACACAGTAAGCTTACAATTCTCTTGACTTTCTTCATCTTGCTGTTTATAGGCTTTTGAAATGGAAGTTACTTCAGTATGAATTGTAAACAAATTAGTTAGGAGACTATCTGCTATACTCCTTTCTTCTTCTTGATTTTGTCTTAGTATATCCAAAGCCAAGCCAATTAATTCTTTGCAAATTCCAGGTAGAAATAATTCAGAAGGATTTGAACACATACTTCTGCTTTTATTCAATGAACCTGTATTAAAAAAAGAAAAAGAATCAGAAATTCCTTGCATATAGCATTTGGTCTGACAGACAATCCCTTGTCATAACAATGTTATGTTATTCCCTTTTGTTGCTATCTAAGCTACTGAAGTATGAAAATGGTTAGAAAAATTAAAATACATGCATTTTTCAATTGATAAAAATATTTATATAGAAAAACCTATGTTTTCTTAATTCAGCTAAGATAATGAAAATAAAAAGCAAATAACAAAACTTTCCTTTCCACTTGCAATTAAGTATACACAACAAAATAATAAAATAACTGACCTTAAATGACCATGTAAAGAAAAATGAAAAATTATTTAGGACGTTCAAGTAGTTTTATATTTAAGAAAAAAAAAGAAAAAAAACCCAAAAAACAAAAACTTTCCAAACATTTTAAAACGTTTCCAAATTTTCATCATTTAACTGAAACAGCAAAAACAATTGCAGATAAGATTAATGTCTCAAATGATATAAATCGAAAGTAACTATCAGATGGAGCTATATAACAGCATCATCCAAGTTAACCTGCACTGTTAAAAAGGATTATATTATATAGACATGGGACAGATTTAGGCAAAAAATCCCATAAAGACCTGCCAACAAGCAGCCTAACACCCATTATAAAAGATATAAAATCTCTTTTGTAAAGCATCATGTTTCCTATTTTCTTTTCAATCAGGCAAATTATTGAATTATTAAACTGCATATTTTTTCATTAATAAACAATGAGGTCCCATCTTTTCAGTATTAAATAAAGTAATCTGCTGTATAAAATTTAAAAAAATACCTGATAACTGTGAAATGTGTAGGTTCTGGATTGGATGCATTTTTATGCCAGACAGACAATCAGAAATTCTTCGATTCTTCATGAAACTTCTGCTCCTAGAAAAAAAAAAAAAAAAAAAAATGGGGGTAGAGACAACACATGATATACAGGTCTTTAAATTCATCACTTTACATTTGCTCATAAGGGCAGTAAAAATTGCCTCATTTTCCTTTTAGTAGTTGGAGTAATACAGAGCAGACTCCTCATGTACCAATAACTACTGAATGTAGTGAATATTGCCCTCTAACATGCGATTTGACCCAAGAAATAATGATCAGGGCAGATTGTCAGTTGGGTAAATTATCGTACTTCCATTTGAGTCAGAGCTACATCTTACAAAACCTGAAGACCACTAACTAGTAACTAAAATACACATTCTATATATTCCCTTGAATTTGTGACGAAGGATGAGCTTGATGGCCAATCAAAATAAGCAAAATTCTGGCTCCCACAAAAGACTCCTTCATCCAAGTCCAATTCCTAATCATCCAAATGAATGTGTTAGCATATATTAACTTCCTACATACAAGTCCCATCACCTTCAATCCCAGAATTCTTAGGATTTGATGCAACTGTCCTAACCCCGTCACCAAATACGAAGTCAGATTAATATGTACATCATTCTCTTTCTGTAACTGCTGAGTACAAATCTTTGTTCATAATCTAAAGGAAACTGCACTAAACACTGAGGTCTTGAGTTTTTTATGAAAACCTTTGTTGTTTTGTTTTAAATATACACATGTGTACATGCGCATGTGCAAACACACACACCCACTACCTAACGTGGCAACTGACACGTGGCAATCCAATTGTAATTTTTGCACAGATTGGTGGAAAGTAAACTCTAGATTCCCTCTTAGCACAGATAGGGACAGAAAGAAACAATATTGGATGCTTCTATTCTTCGTTCTGCCATCAGGTGGGTTGGAAACTTCTAAGCACCAGACTGATCTGGCCACAGTCCATGCAGACTAGGCAAAACACA